AGAAACGATGTACAAATGCGCTTTACACAATTGATGTGTATATGGATTGGGATAACAGTTGTATGAGCCCCTAATAAAATGTTTAAAAAAAACAAAACTGATTGTTCTTGCTGGCTGGCCAAGTCTACCAGACATTAGGTACAAGATAGGAAAGGTGCAGATTTATGAGTTTATGATGTACTATGCTGAATCTTTCACAGTTGATTAAGTCTTTATTTACAAATGACTTCAATCTGTTTGTATGAATTTAACATATCTTTCATTTAGCCCTTTAAAGAAAATATTGTAATGCAAGTGTCTGCTACCCTGAGATGAAGGTTATTCCCTCTGAAAAATCACAGTGCTTTGGTATGTGGTAGAGTGGTGCTCAAAATAAATGTTTATTGAGTCAAAGAATGAATTATTATATTTCAGTGCTCCTTGATAACTGAAAGGTTGGTGATTTGAACTCACCCACTTACTTGGTTTTCTACTCCTGTAAATTGCTAGAGTCTGATCAACTCACAGGGGCGCTTCTATCCTGCCCTATAAGGTCACTGTGAGACGGCATCAACTCAATAGCATGAAGTGTTTTGAGTAGTTGGCAGGGGAAAAGACCAGGTGTTTTACTCTGGTAAGGGCCCCTGGTGGCATAGTGGGTTACACGTTGGGCTGCGGACCACAAGTTCAGCAGTTTGAAACCACTAGCTAGCTGCTCTGCCGGAGAAAGATGAGACTTTATTCCTGTGAAGAGTTGTGTTTCTGAAACTCACATGGACGGTTCTACCCTGTTTTAAAGGCTTGATCTGATGGCAATGAGTTTGATTTTTAGTTTTTTTATTCCTGCAAACATTATAGTCCAGAAAACCCTACCAGTATTAGTTGGGGTTGCTATGTCAGAATTAACTTAGAGTGCACTTCATAATAACACAGTAGAGATGTTTGATTTTTCAGTAACTATACCTCTTTATTCTACATTTTGACCTTATAGAGAAGTGCTGTCAATAGAGATATAAAGTAAGCCACATATATCATTTTATGTTTTCTTGTAGCATATTTCAAAAAATAGATAATTGAAATTCAATTTAATAATGTACTTAACTCAATATCCCCAAATTATTAGCATCTCAACATGAAATCTTGTGTATTTTATACTTATGGCATATCTCAATTCAGATTTGAATTTTCATCTGAAATACTGTTCTAAGATTTTAGAAAATTCAGATAAAAGGTAGATTCAGATACTCACATTTAAAAAAATATATATGTGAACATTTCCCAATTATTTAATCAAGTATCCATTATTAAATTTAAATTGAATTTCTAAAAAAATTAAAATTTCAGTCCCTTGGCTAGCAACATATCAAGTGCTCAATTGCCACCTCTAGCCAGTGCCTACTGCATTGGATAGTATAGCTTTATAGGGCTGATGACAGGCAATACCTATTTGGCAAGTTTCTGTGTAGGTTTATCACCTTATAGATCTTGATTTGTCTTTTGTTTTCTCAATACTTTAGTTTTCATTGAGAACTCTTGCTTATTACCCTTACACCTTAAAATAAAAGAAAGCCAGTTGCTGTCTTGTCGATTCCAACTCGTGGCCACCTTATGTGTTATCAGAGGAGAACTGTGTTCTGCAGGGTTTTCAATGACTGGTTTTCGGAGGTAGATTGCCAGGCTTTTCTTCCAAGTGCCTCTGAACTTCGAATCATATCAACGATGATGATGACAACAACAACAACAACAACAAAAACCCCTGAAATCCTTGCAGTGGCATCACTTCTGAATCATGTCAATATCATGTGTTGTCAACATCACAGACTGTAACTGTGCCCCATAGGGTTTTCAATGACTATACTCTTTATGCGAGAAGATTGTTAGGTCTTTCATCCGCAATGCCACTGTCTGCATTTGAGTCACCAACGTGTTGGTTAGTAGCTCAGTCCAAACTATTTGCATCATACCACCTGTTAGAAGCGTCTCCATTGAATATGCCACGTTTGGTCAATATTACTAAAGGAAAACATGCAAGGTCTACCAAAATTCCTTTTGGCTTATCTTCATAGGCAGATACACCCAGAGCATTATATAATAAAACCAGATAATTTTGTTCATGAGCATTATGATTAAGGACTATGGCTAATTAGAGACAGAGTTTGAATGGGGAGTCTGGGACTCTGGCACAGTGGCTTCTACAGTCTGAAGTGTACATGAGATCTCTCGGTCAAATGGATTTAAACAGGCCCCCTGGTCCTGTGGCATAGGGGTTACATGTTGGGCTGCTAACTGAGAGTTTGAAACCACCAGCTGCATCTAAGGAGAATGACAAGGCTTTCTACTTCAATAAACAGTTACAGTCTCAGAAACCCTATGGGACAGTTCTACCCTGCCCTACATGGTTGCCATGAATCAGAATTGACTCAATGGTAGTGAGTTTGGCCTGTGTGTTAGTCTGAGTAGACTAGAGAAACAAATCCAGAAATGCTCATATGTGTGTAATAGAGAACTTTATATCAAAGAGTAATTGTATATTAAGAAGACATTCCAGATCAAGTCCATAAGTCTGGTATTAGCCCATATATCTGATACAAGTCTATAAATTCTCTTCAGACTCACACAACACATGCAATGATGCTGAATTCAGAAGGATCACAGGCCAGTGGGTGAAAAGTCTTGTGGATTCAGTGGCAGTGGCTGCATCTCAGCATCGGCATGGGTCTCCACGTGGATCCTCCAGCTCCAGAGCTCTGATTCCATCAGTGTAACTCCATGTGCCTTGTCAACAGAAATGTCGAAACCGAGAGAGATTCGGTCTGGCCTCCAATGAGCTATTTATCTCCATCACGCCTCCAAATGAGGTCATCAAGTTGTGACCTGATTGACAGGATAAATTCCACCCCTTCACTCTTAATATCCTCAAGTTAACACCAGATTATGTAACTACCAGAGCCGGGTTATGGCTAAACTGCTTGGATGCAAGCACAATACTGTCTCTTGTCAGTTTGAGAGGAGAGCTCACAAGCCCAATAACTGCTGTAAAACATCCTGATAACTTGTTCTATCTATTCAAAGTGTGTTTTCATTTTGTTTCATTATGTATGCACCAAGGCTAAAACTGAGGGTATGATAAAAGGAATTATTTCAATATCATTTTGAGGTAAAGCCAGAATTATGGATCTGAGTTTCCCAATTAGCAACTGTCTTCGAATGTAATTCCAAAGTTGTAGAATGTTCCTTATTACAAATTGCCTTTCCCCCTTCTTATTTCAAAAACAAATACCTCTTCTTATTTTTACTTAATATTCCACAAGTTTCAATATGCAAGGCCTAATGTAGTGAAATAAAGCTAAGACATTTGACCAGGATAGCTAATGTACATTGCAGTCTGTGGAAGCCACTGTGCTACATTCCTCTGCTCCCCTTCAAGTCTGTCTCTAACTAGCTGTATACTTTTCAGGGGTGAAGCTTTGGGTCTTGTGTCTTGTGCCTGGTGCAAGATTGAACAGTATCACATATTCTAGCTATCCCCTTCAGTACCCTATTCACTTGACTCATCTGAGATTTGAATAAGTCAGTTGAATGGAATTTTGTACAGCGGAAATAAAGATGGCTGTCATAGACATGACAAGGGAGAAGGATCAAGTGATAGGATGTGTGTGCGTGCGCACGTGTGCATGAGTGCGTACACATGGGCACACTTTGAAATGCAAAATTTGAGTGGTCAGTTAAAGGAATGATTCCTTATCCAGGGGGGCTGAACATTCTTTCCCACAGATACTTGTTTATCCCCAGGTCAACACAGGAACGACTGTAACACAAGGTACCCTGTGTGGCCGCAGTCGCTGCCACTGTTCGCAGTACCCTTATGGGCAGCCCTGGCTCTCTCTAGTTGATCACAGCCGTTACAATACAAGCTTCTGCCCTGGAAGCTTCAATACATCTTGGTGATTCAGGATCTCCACAGAGGGCCTATAAAAACGTGCCCTTCCCACTCGCATGCCATATTAAGGATGCAGTCTTGCTGTTCCAAAGCCTGAATTCTATTGGAGGACAAGTGAAGAGCAAAAGGGGGTGTGTGATTTTTATTTGCTTTGTGTAATTGAGAAGTGATCACAAGATAAGATACTAAAGAAATAAACACATGGATGATGTTCTAGAAATGGATGTGGACTGGGTGAATTTTTTTTCCCCCTCCTCAGAGAATTTTTGAATTTGCTATATTTAGGTCTTTGGGGACATGTTTTAAGGGTCAAGTGTTAACTTTTCAGAAACAACCTTTAATGAGTCAGGATAAAAACCATCTGGTACAGAGATTCTTCGTTGAAACAGAGGGACTTCAGGGGAGAGATTTTTCCCATCATCTTACGGTGCCCACTGGAGGTTCAAAATTGGGATCTATCTGATTTCTAACTATTGTCCCTTTGATCTTCCGCCTACGCATGAAAGGAAATGAAAAAGTAAGTTTGGGAACCACAGGGGAAAGGCATGCAAAATCTGAGCTCTCAAACTCAATAGAAAGCAGCAGCCTTCCCTTCAGGGGCTGAAGGCCCTTAAGTCATGGCACTACCCGAAGGGCAGGAAGGGTGAGGCGCTACCTGGAGGAGGTAGGATGGGGCCCAAACCAGAGACAACTCTCCTTCCAAAACCAAGCTCGCCTAACTGACACTTCCTTATGTCCCAGGAAGTGACGACCAGCCAACACAGCCCTTGTGAGGCTTGGATCGCACCCACTCTGGGAGCTGGGGGTGTCGTGGGGCGAGCCGTGCGACCTCTCCCTCTGGCCGAGCTCCCAAGGAGGCTCTGTGACCCAGGCCATCTTGTCACCCTTCCCAAGCTGCTGACAGTCGTACCCTTGGCCCAGCTATTAGCGTGACCCCAAGCCGAGGGCCCCTGGAGTAGAGGACTGAGAACGGTTTTGGATAGGGCAGGGACTGAGAAAGCTGGCGCAGGGAGATGGAGGAGAATTTAAGAATGGAAAAAGTCCCGAGGTAGGAGCTCGGAGGGGGCCGGCTCCAGTAGCATAGAACCCCATGCTTCCCCAAAGAAACGGACAAACCCCACTTCTTCACTTCAGCGCCCTGTGGCACAGACACCCCAAACCCG